GTACATATACATTAGAAAAACTGTCTGAAAATTCATATTATTATGAACCATATAAAATTTATTCTTTATGAGGAGTACACATGATTTCCATGTAAAAATGTATTATGAGATTCATATTCGTATGAACCATTTAAAATTATTTCTTTATTATAGGTAAACATACATATGCACATATTATTTTGTCCTTACGAAGGGCAAACATTATTACCTTATAAAAACTGTTTTCTGATATTAATTTATATTCATATTATATATACTATAAATTTTTAAAATGCTTATTTAGTTATTGCACTAAACTTTTTTCTCTTTCATGTTTTCACACTGAAGTTCTTCTTTTCATTCAACGCCCCAATACTTTTCATTTTTCTTTTCCTTCTTATTCGTTTTCGTTGTCGGCAAGTTGTGATTCAAACGCCCCAATACATTTCACATTACTTTTGGGATATTTATTTTGGTCTTATTTTAGGATTATTTCCACCACTTCACCGACTCGATTACCCAATTACATTACGATTGGTGTCATGGCTTCTTCCGAGAAGGTCACCGTCTCTGCTTTCCGTCTCATGGATGCTTTCTACTTTCTTAGTCGGTTCACTCCTATTAACTTGTACGAAAGAGAAATGGAAGAGAGAGAGAAACAATACTTTTCTCATTAGATCAATACTAATTACAAAGATGATTATATACAAGCTTACAATACGCCCTTAATGCTAACATACTCATTTAGTTACTAATTAATTCTAACTAACAGCAATTAACAAACTATACTGTTAAATTACATTAATACCCCTAATATCCCCCCTCAAGATGACCGTGAAAAAATTATTTTCAAGGCCATCTTGGACATTAAAGGCAATAGTTTAGCACGTGGCAACGGTTTGGTGAATATGTCTGCAAGCTGAAAATGAGTTCTTATTGGAAGAAGTTTAATGGTTTGATCAATGATTTTGTCACGAATGAAGTGGCAATCAATCTCCACATGTTTAGTTCTCTCATGAAAAGTGGGATTGGATGCTAATTGGATGGCAGATTCATTATCACAGAAGATGAGATTTGGTTCAGTTTGCTTTACACCAAAATCATTCAACAAGTGTCTTAACCACATAAGTTCACAAGTGACAGCAGCAATGGCTCTATATTCTGCTTCCGTGGATGATCGAGCTACAGTGTTTTGTTTCTTAGATCGCCAAGAAATAAGAGAATCTCCAATAAAAACACAATATCTTGTGACAGATCTTCTTGTGGCTTTGCATCCTGCCCGATTAGCATCACTAAAGGCTCTCAATTGAAGAGAAGAAGTAGCTGAAAGAAACAACCATTGTCCTGGATTAGACTTTGGGTATCTAAGAAGATGTGTTGCAGCATGCATATGATGAGTTCTGGGTTTATTGAGATATTGACTCAAACGATGAACAGCATAAGTGATATCGGGCCTTGTGATGGTCAAATATAGCAAACAACCGATAAGTCTTTTGTATTGGAACTCATCTTGTAAAAAATCTCCTTCAAAACTTGATAATTTGTACTTGGGATCCATAGGTTGTTGTGTTGGCTTTGCTGCTAAAAGTCCTATATCCTCAAGAAGCTTTAAAGTATATTGTCTTTGTGAAAGAAAAGTTCCAGTTTTTGATCTAGCAATCTCAAGGCCTAAAAAATGTCTCAAATTCCCCAAATCTTTTAATTTGAAACGAGCACTTAAAGCCTTTTTAACCAACTGTATTTCGGATGTTGAAGCTCCTGTGATAACTATGTCATCAACATAGACTAGCAAAGCAACATATGATGAACCAACACCTTAAAAAAAATAGAGAATAATCTGATTTTGATTGTGTGAAACCCAAAGTATTTAAAAAACTGGAAAAGGAACAACAACCCAAGTAAACACCCATCGACAACCCAATGGCTTTCTGTCTTTTGGAAGAGGAACAACAACCCAAGTATTATTCAATTCCAAAGCTTTTAACTCATCATTCATAGCATGTTGCCATTCAACAGATTTGATAGCTTCATTATAGTTTTTGGGTTCTTCTAGATAAGATATAGAAATGGTGTAAGCTTTGCAGTTTTTACTAAGATTATCATAAGAAATAACCTCAGATAAAGGATGTCTACAAGAGGATGAACTGGAATTTGTAGAACATGTATGAACTTTTATGAGGTTACAATGATAATCTTGTAAATATGATGGTCTGGTCCTAACTCGTTGTGTTCTGTTAGGTTGTGCTTGTGGTAAATGTGAATCATTGGGTAAGGGTATATTTGGAATATCAGAAATTGGAATAGAATTAGGTGAAACAGGAATAGAAATGGGGTTTGGAACATGTTGTAAAATTTGAGATGAAGATTTATGATCTGAATCAAAAGCTTTTTGTAATACAACCATGGAAAAAGGATCATCAACAAAGGGATGAGTTGTATTTATGAATGGAAAAACAGTTTCATGAAAACAACATCTCTTGACATGAAAATTTCTCTTGTTGACAAGTCAAGCAACTTATATGCCTTCATGCCAGGTGGGTAACCTATGAAGACACAGGATTTTGCACGTGGTTCAAACTTGTTTTTGTGTGCTGTTAAAGTAGAAGCAAAGGCTAAGCAACCAAAAGTACGAAGTAGATTATACTGTGGTTCTGCATTATAAAGTTTTTGATAAGGTGTAAGATATTGAAGCAACTTGGAAGGAGTTCTATTGATCAAACATACAGCAGTTAAGACACATTCTGACCAATATTCAATTGGTATATTCGACTGGAAATACAGTGCCCTTGCAACATTCAGTATGTGTTGGTATTTTCGTTCTACAATAGAGTTCTGTTGTGGCCTCTCAACACATGAAAACTGATGTATTATGCCTTTAGCTTGGAACAATTCAGTGAAAAGCAATTCTTTGGCATTGTCGGATCTGAAAATTTTGACATTAGCATTGAATTGTGTGGCTATCATGGTCAAAAACCTTGGTATCACATATTGCACATCAGACTTGTTCTTCATCAAATAAATCCAAGAAAATCTTGTACAATCATCTACCAAAGTAACAAAGTATGTATAACCTTGATATGAAGAAACTTGGTAGGGACCCCATACATCACAGTGAAGTATATCAAATGGACTACTAGCAACATTGTTTAGAGAAACAAATGGTAATCGTCTTTGCTTAGCTAAAGGACAAACAGGACAAAGTAAATCATTATCATCTTTATTACTAATGCCAAGATTATTAGAAATCATCTTTATCTTGTCATTTGAAGGATGTCCAAATCTGGAATGCCATTGCTGAATGGAGATAGCAACATTAGTTGAAATAGTAGTAGCTTGAGGAACATCCAACAAATATAATCCCTCATGAACATCACCCCTGCCAATCATCTTCTTGGGGGGAATATGTTTGATCAAGGCAAAGTTATGGTAAAATTTGACCGTTAGCAATTGTGATTTGGTCAAACATGTGACTGATATCAAATTCAGTTCAAATTGAGGAACATAAAGAACATTTGTAAGATACAACTGATTGGTGAGCTGTATATCTCCCTTGTAATGAACTGGAATAAGACTATGATTTGGTAACCTTACTCTAGTGCCACTTATAGTCTGAATTTTTTAAAAAGACCTTTGTCATTGCAAATATGTTAAGTAGCCCCCGAATCAAGAATCCAAACATTAGACATGTAATTCCCAGAATTAAGAGTAAGAATTATGTATTTACCTGCTAAATTCTCTGAAATAGAAGCATGATTAGCAGAAGTGGTGACCATATTTGCAGAAGCAAGTTGACCAGATATCATTGCAATTAGATTTTCACATTGTTGTTGAGTTAATCCAGTCAAAGTATCATGAACATTAGAAGAAACTTGTTGTGATTGATTAATAGCTGGAGATGTTTGATCAGTGTCAACAGAATTGGCACGAGATTGAGTTCTATATCCTGGTGGAAATCCATGCAGACGATAGCACTTGTCTTGTGTATGACCGGTCTTCTTGCAATGCATACAAAATGGAGAATCCTTTTTGAAATTCTTATAGGATTGATTAGATCTGGCTTTATTGTCATTATTGCTATGATTGTTGTTTGTAACACGAGTATTGAATGCAAGTGTAGAATTTTGAAGATTACCGATATTGCACTGCCTTTCTTCTTGAATAATCATGGAGAAAATTTTGTTAACAGAGGGAATTGGATCGAGGAGAAGAATTTGACCTCTTATTTGAGAATAGCTCGAATTTAATCCCATCAAGAAGCTCATGGCATGTTCGATCTCTTTTGCTCCTCCACAGGTACACTTTCCACAAATGCAATTACTGTTGTAATTTGACAATTCTTCCCAAAGAGTCTTCAATTTTGTGAAATAAGTACTGACTGAATCAGATCCATGTGTCAAATTCATCAAATCACGCTTGAGTTGAAAAATCCTTGGACCATTGGATTGTTGACAGCGTTCTTTTAATTCCTTCCACATGTCAGCAGCAGTGGGAAGATAAATGATACTGGACGAAATTTCTTTAGAAACAGAATTGAGAATCCATGGAATAACAACATTGTTATTTCGAGACCAAGATCTGAAGTTTTGATTGGATTCATCAGGTTGCGGGAGTAAACCTTCAACAAAATCCAGCTTATTTTTGACTCATAAGGCAATCCGCATAGATCTGCTCCAAGTAGCATAGTTATCCCCTGTGAGCGTCTGAGAAACAAGCACTAAACCAGGTCCATCGGAGCTATGAAGATAATACGGATCATTGTATGAATTTGCATCAATAGAGTTTGTGAAATTAGGATTAAGATTCACCGAATTGAGATTAGAATTTGAAGAAGCCATAGAATCAATCGATAGTGAAATAAGCGAATAGACAAATCAAGATGAACAAAAGAACAATCGAATCAAGAAATCACCATTAACGGATTAGCTATGTAATACTTGTACGAAAGAGAAATGGAAGAGAGAGAGAGAGAGAAACAATACTTTTCTCATTAGATCAATACTAATTACAAAGATGATTATATACAAGCTTACAATACGCCCTTAATGCTAACATACTCATTTAGTTACTAATTACTTCTAACTAACAGCAATTAACAAACTATACTGTTAAATTACATTAATACCCCTAATAACTCCTTCTCCTTCTCCTTCTCCGCTTCTCCGTCCCTTCGGACCTTTCCTGTCCTCTCCGTCTCTCTCTGATCACCCTAATCCGCACACCAGCTGTCATCCTCTATCACCTCCTCCATCGCCGGCTTGCCCTCCTGCATGGTTAACGTGTTTGCGATCTGGTGAACAAAACTGCCTCCCGCCTTCTGTTCGAACTCCGACCGGCGAGTCGACGATGACCACACCATTCCGGCTGCAAGTCTGTTACAGCAGGCTAGGAGTTTACGATAACCTACACTGCTACAGCACACACTTCTCCGTCTCCGCCTTCGGCTGTCGCAAACCTCGACTTCGATTCTCACATCTCTGGTTCCGACTGCTCACTTCTCCACGTGCTACTCTATTAAACGTATGTTCCGATTTCTTCCATTCAAGTTCCGATATTAGTTAAAATCGTAGAGTTCTATTATTATAGATTACTTACTGTAATGAAATAATTCACAATTACTACAAAGCTTGAAATGATTTGTTGATGAAAATGAAAAGGAAATAAGCCCTAGGCGGAGATGGCGTAGAAGGTTATTCATCATCCGGTACTATTTCTACCTCTTTTGTGTCGTCAATTGGAGGGTTGATATGAAATCTTTATGGAACCCTAGACGCAAGGAAATTTCTTTAGCCATCGACAAGTATGGTCAGTATGTTTGATATTATTCCATGAAACATCAAAGCCTTTTGAAAAAAATATTACCGTCTGATTAATATTCTTTGATCAGGTGTTGTTGAGTTATCGCCATCAGAGGTAAACCATATAATTTCCTCGCTTTTCTAGAAAATTATCTTTATAGACATCTGAAACTTTAATATATTGTTTTGTCCTTTATTATATGTGGTACCACCTACATGTGCAGATAAATGTGGTTGTTCCATGGCAAAATCTGAAAAACTGTGAGTTTTTATGTGGCTTTGGATGCTATTTTGTTTTCTTGCTCTGCTTTGTATGTGTTCTATTTTAACATGAGACTTTGATCAACCGATTTGCATTGCTTTTGCACCAGATTAAGAGGCTGAAATGTTCGAATAGGGAGTTAAAAGAGTAAAAGAAGTCGTAGATGGGGTCAGTAAGTTCAGGTATAACATTTATCGACTAAACTTTCATGATTTTATTTTATTTTAGGATTATATATGAATACGAATACTAAATAATGAAAGAATGATTGCATTCCAGCAGGATGAATGTGAACTGAAAACAACAACATACTTTCTTTTGGCTACAAATATGAAAAAAAACATGTTATCTTTTTTATATATAGTTACATAACATTTACCAATAAACTGCTTACAAGTTTCATTCGTAGGTTTTAAAACAGAATGGACTAATTGAATGGTCAATTCTTATAAAGAACTCCCAAGGTGAAGATCATCTAATATTGGTCAAATGTGAAAAATTAAATATGATGAAAGTAGACTACTATAAAAAACAAGTGAATGTACGTTCCTTATTCTTGCATTTAGCCCTCTAAATGTTTCCAATATTTTGTTCATCAACTTGAGTGGGTAGTTGAGACCTGATAATCAAACGAAAGAGAAGCAGGAAGCCCACTATCAGGTTTCTGGTAAAAATATAAGTTGGTTGTTGTTTAAAGTAAAAAATTGAAGCACATTAATGTGAAAATATATAAGTTGGTTGTATTAAATGATATAAATCATATATTTACATTAATTCATATGTATAATGGTTATGAGCAGAATGACCGAGAACTAAGAAGGGAGAAGAACAACAAGTCCAACCGATAATCAGGTAGAAGGTAAAGATTGAGGAAACAGGTATACAGGTTATTTCATGATGGCAAGGGTAAAATTCTATATGTAATATCCTTTTGCAACAAGTATACTATGGTTTCTTATTTACTACACCTTCAAATAACGAAAAAGAAAAGAAACCCAACGCCAAAGGCGCAGCTAATTCCATCTAGTTCATATGAACAATGTAATTTTTTTCGTTATGGTAGGCTAATATGATTATGTTACAAACACCATTCTCTCAAATTCATATTCATATGAACCATGTAATTTTTTTTTCCTTTTTACGGATGGATGTGATTGCCTTACAAAAATCTTTATGAGTTTCGTATTCACATGAAACATGTAAAAAAATTTATATTATCATGTAAGGGCATGATTAGCTTACAAAATATATTTTTATGATCATTACCTTACAGAAACCGTATTTTCATATTCAAATTTACTTTTTTTTCTTATGATGGGTGGACATGATTACCTTACAAAAATTGTTTCTTATATTCATATTCACATGAAACTTGTAAATTATTAATACTATAGATGAAGGTGAGTGGAAAACCGTCGTCCATAATCGCAGCCCTTAAAACTCAAGAAACTTTTAATCTGAGCCGCATAAACTCAAAAGTTGCGGTTGTGTGCAGATTATCAATCGGCTCCTACTTCTTCTACCCACGATTGCATCCATGCCTCTTATTCGCTAACCGCTACAATCACGTTGTACAAATCAGCCTATATATTGATCGTTCGATGTTTGATGTTTGCATCTTTCAATTGGTAAAAAGAATTGCTTCATTTGATTCTATGGATTCCAATTCGTCCGACATTTGTTCACCTAAGGTAAAATATTGAATTCTGTAATCGATTTCTTTGATTTGTACTTCATTGCATTTGTATGTTTCAAATGGTAAAAAGAATTGCTTCATTTAGTGTTATGGATTGCAATTCATCTATTGTTTGTTCACATAAGGTAAAATTGTTGACTTCTGTAATCGATTCCTTTGATTTATACTTCATTGCATATTCAACTTGGATGTATAATTGAAGTTAAAGTTTATTTATGTTTCAATTTTCGATGTCATATGTATTTAATTGTGTTCTGTATAATTTTCATGTAGAAATTTGAAGATGTTGAGGAAAAAGTCAATCCACAATCAGATGTATCAAAATCGACATGTCATTCTGATTCTGTGAGTGTTCAAATAATCGACTTCAGTGTTCACTTCAGTCCCTGCAAATCCCAGTTGGAGAGGGTGATTTCTGAAGAGGTAAATATTTATGAGTTTTCTTTTCAGATAAATATGCATATAAAGTTTTTTTTCCTTTTCAGGTTTTTTTAATTGCCAAAGAAGAAGAGAAGTTGTCAAGAAAGAAAAAAGGAAGTTGGCTTTGTTATGTCGGAAGTGGGAAGAAGTTGTGGATCTATGTGAAGATGAAGAGTTGGGTGGATCTATCATTCATACCACTGAAAAAGAAAGTAAAAGTTTCCATTCAATCTCGAAATGGAGTCATGAAACTTTTTGATGAATAAGATGTTTATGAGTGTGTAACATCCCAAAATCGAGACCCAAATTTTTTTTAATTACATTACTTATAAAAATAGTTTACAGAAAACATCGTTGCTATCATTTCAAAACATCAAGTCACAAATCACAAGTCTCGAAAACCATAACATCAAATAGTAAAATGTCAGAGTACAATCCCAGGATTCTCAAAGCGCTGCTACCCTGCTGGCTCCTTCCCCTTAGCTGAAGAGGTACGTGAAACCAAAACTAAAAACTGTAAGCACGAAGCTTAGTGAGTTCCCCCATCATACCACATATCATTCATCATACATACTGTCGGGCAGTTCTGGGGTGCCCGACCTACCCATGTCAAGCCATTCTGGGGTGTTGACCTACCCATGTCAAGCAATTCTGGGGTGCTGACCTACCCATGTCAGGCCATTCTGGGGTGCCTGCCTACCCTCCGGTCTATCTCACCCGGTCACGGGGACTATTTCACCCCTACTACTATCACATAATAACATATCATAATCATGTTGTCAGACATATATGGGGTGTCCGACCTACCCTTTGGTCCTAACGGCCGAATAGGGGGACTATTCCCCTCCTACTACCACTATCACATAGAACATATCATACTAGCACATAGAACATATCAAAAAGTAATAGCAAACCAGACAATTATCACAAAGACAATCATCTCAACTGTAATCAACTACTAGTGGGTCGGCCTTGGTGCCTTAGACCCACTTCTACTGGAAGGTAACTCACCTCAATGTCGTGTAGTGCCTGCATTGTCCTCGGTGTGAAAATCGACTCTCCTCGACTCATCAATCCCTACACGACAACTTTTCTAAGTTATCAATTCATACTCATAATCCTTACAAGGGTCACTCAAGTCCAAGTCAAAGTCAAGGTCAAAACCTTGGTTAAAGTCAACATCTGGTTTACTCGACTCGCCGAGTTGGTCCACCAACTCGCCGAGTCCCCATGTCCACAAATGCTACCATCCCGTCCCTACTCGTCGAGTCTAGCAAGAGCTCGACGAGTTCGCCTTCAACAACACATCGGAATATCTTCAACCGACTCGCTGAGTTCGTCCTTGAACTCGTCGAGTTCATCTTCATCCATATGAAGGTGTTCAGTCTATGACTCGCCGAGTTCATCCTTGAACTTGTCGAGTCCGTCTTCATATGGTTGGGACATTGCCTTGAACTCGCCGAGTTTCTTCTTGAACTCGTCGAGTCCTTTGATCTTCAAGTCCATAACAAACCCCTAACAGGCTGAGTGTTCCTTCCACTCAACCAAAGACCATTTCCAGAAGTCATTTGGTGGAAAATGCGACCCGACTCGCCGAGTCACCCAAGCGACTTGCCGAGTCCCTCTTTTTCCAAAACTATTCAGTCGATTATAATGGGTCTTAATGCATCAAAACCATAGATCTGACCTCTTAGGGTCCATTTTATATGTAAAGTTCCAATCTTGCGTCCATGCATGGGGGTGTTTTTGGCTCAAAAGCCATAAAAAAAAGGTATATAAGAAGCATGGGTCTCCCATGGCCATAAAGTTGGCACCTTTATGCCATGGGAACCCTCAATGGTTCCAGATCTGAAGTGCAACTCCAAACACGCTCCCAAAATCCGATTATAACGTCACAACTCATAAAAAGGGTAGGAAAATAGCCCCAAAACAAGATCTAAGAGATAGATTGTCAAGGTTCAAGCTTTTTACCTTGAATGAATTGACAATGAAGCAAAACCTCTGGATCTACTAGCTTCCACTTGAACTCCCAAGCTTCCTCCTTCTCTTCCAACTTCAAATGCACACAAAAGTCACCAAAAAGCTCAAAAACACTCAAAAGAGACTTAGGGTTCGAGTTAGGGCTTTCTCTGGGTTGGGAGGAACAATGGAGGTTGTGTTGGGGTGTTATAAGTTGTTTAAATAAGGTGCAAACCCTAAATATTAGAGTTTCATCCAGACAGTCCTACTCGTCGAGTCGGTCTCCCGACTCGTCGAGTAGGTCACTTATCCTGTCGATCCAAAGTCGAGTCTACTCGACGAGTTCGGCCTCCAACTCGCCGAATCCCAGAGCAGAACATGAGTTTACTTTAATTAAAATACGTACCAGGAACCGGGTGTTACAGAGTGATTTAGGTTTAACTTTCTTTATTTTGTTTTTGATGAATCTGACGCTCTAGTTTGTATATGTTCGAGAATAAGGTGATTAGGGTTTTGGATAAAGAGAAGGAGATCCCTTCTTCTAGAGAAGAAGGTTCCTTTTATACCTGGTGTTCTCTGCACATTATCCCAACAGTGTCCTTTGTCTCGTTTGGGCCGACAGGACGTGGAGGAGTCCTATTGGTGGATCGTGCACCACTAGTGGTCGGTTGCTATTGGTGCAGAATAAATAGAGGACAACGCCCTGAGCACTACACTTGTCGCTCTGGGAAACGACCAGTTGTATTTTGGCTTATTATGGACCGAAGATTGTCGTTAGGAATTGGACCTAGGCACGAGGGTGACAAGCATGAGGGTCCTAGCACGAGCACGAGGGCACGGGTCTGACGCTAGGACGGATTCATGACCGTTAGCTAGGTCGTCCTAAAGATAGTAGTTATATTATCTTTAACGTGTTCCTAGTTGGATACGTTAACAATAACACTAACATTAAATCAAATAAGGTTAAGGAAACGGTCAAACATCCACAAATCATATATGGTTTTTTTGGAAGAACCCATGATATTTCACCTATTTTTTATAGGTGAGAAAAAATTTCATTTTGGTCCTAAAGGCATCGGTCGAATAACAATAATGAAAAATAAGAGCATGCATGCCTAATTTAAATGGAAAGAAAACAGCATGAGTAAAATGCAACGTGCTTTCATTGGTTTTTTATTATAACATCTTACTTTCATTTATTCCTCTTTTACCAAAAATCTATCAAATTATATCCATGTCATTCACATAAGAAACAATTTTCCTTTCTATGATCAGTATATTTTTCAAAGTAAATATCCTAAGAAGGAAAAAAATCTAAAGTACAATGCTATAACTATAAATTTTTTCAAAAGGAGATGTCTTAATAAGAAAAAAAAAACTCAAAGCACAATCTTCTAATAGAAATAAACGAACGTATGATGCGATAATACATAATTAAATGAAAGTACGTTATTATTTTTTGTTTTTTACAAACACATACCTTCTAGAACTAGAATATCTTGGATAGATTTTATTTTAACCATTTACAACTCGTATGGCTTTAAAAGATTTGAAGCTTTAATCTTATGAAATACAATTTTTATTCTTTCTTCACCAAGGATATCAACAATTCTTCGAGTAAAATAGGTTATTTGGTTCGAAAACAATGGTGAATAAGAAGATCAACATACTCCTGCCTATTTTTGTCATTATTTAAAATGACCTTTTGCCCATGGGACAAGGCTATATGTTAGACCAAGGGCATCTTGGTCCACTGATAAAGCTTAAGGCAATTAATTACCCTATCTGGAAAAGTAATAAATATAAGGTGCAAGGGGGACACCTTAGATGTCGTAAATTTGAATGATATGAGTATTACTTTCTGCTTGATATACTAAAAACATTTTATATCAGTATACGCAATGTAATGCACATTTTACCCATAATAGTAATGCACTTACATGTTTATACCCATTATAGCAATGTAATTACATAAAGTAATAGTGATATGTAACCTATTATATAACGTACTTGCATTTTATTTACACATAATTTCCACTTACTTACAATTTCTTACTCAAAGTAGGTATGTGTTTACATTTAACAAATAGAGTTTCATATCATTTTTTATCAAGCATTGTACTTTCAAATGTGTCCCTTGTATGCATAATACACTTGAAAGACTCGGCTAACAATTGTGATTATCATATTAGATTTTCTTTTAGTTTTTCTATTTAATAATATGAAAAAAAAAATCAGATTTTTTTTCTGTGATGTTTTTGTATTATCCAAAATTAATTAACTACACTGAGGGGTTGTTTTGTAAGCTTCTTAAAGATACAATTAAGAGGCGCCATAAACCATTCAACATTGAGGGTCTTTGGTAAGTTTAAAATTAACCTCTAGATGGTTAAGTGTTCTCTATGAGATCCAGCATATTATCCGTCTTTGAACCATTACATTTTTCTAAGAAAATGCACATTTTCCCTTAAAGAAAGGGAGTGTCCGTTTTCTACATACGTTTTAGTTTTTGGATGAGTAGGAGGGAAGCATACATGTGTGGATCTAACAGGGGTTTTTCCTCTTGTGGGCTTGGGAGTAGGGTTTTCACTTTGGGTTAGGCTGTTTTCAAAGCTGCCTCATGCAAAGTGGCAAAACATAAGAATACGTGCATGGAAAATCAACACACGTTTATATCTTTTGCGTTTGATACTTTCGGTTTCCTTAAGTCAGATGTTGTGGAGCTCCTCAATAGAGTCCAATAGGCCATGCATAGTAATGTTATAAACCCATGATCTATGGATGCGGTTGTTAAAAGAATTAGTTTTGTCATCCAAAAAAAGGTTAGCGGCAGTTTGTTGTTCGTTTACCCACTACGTCCATGTAAAACTTTTATGTTTTAATGATAAAGTGGTCACATACATATACTCTAAATTACGCATGTTAGTTTCTCCATTGTTTTCCTTTGTGTTTGAATTATACGAAGACCATCACTTATTCTTCTTGTAATTTGACTTCTTATCGTTGTTGTTATAAAATTAAATCCCCAACCTGAAATGTTTGTGAGTTGTGGGTTTCACTTGAGTTTTAGGAAAATTTTGTTTATTTTTCTAGAAAACATTTTAAGAAAATAAAGTTGATTTTTTATTTTCCGTTTTCAAGTAAAATTTTAGAAAACGTTTGAGTTTTCATTTTCTATTTTAGAAATTTAGAAAACTTTGGAAAATTGTAAATCACTTTTTAATTTAAATACAATTTGGAAATGGAATATTTTTATTTTCTTGAAATCTGAAACAATCAAACGCGCTTTCAAAAATTTATTTTCATTGAAAATTGAAAAAAAAAATAAAAAAAAAAACAAAACAAAAACGCACCTTTAGGAATTAAATTGGAAAAAATATGTTGCAAGAAAATGATTGAATTAACAAAAGAAACGTCGATCGTGTTGAATGATTTGTGAGAGTTGTGAATGGTTCCACTTCGATGTTTTAGAACTTAGGATGGAGTTATTTGGGAGTCTATTTTAATCTTGTACTGCTGTTGAGTATAGTTGGGCTACCTTCTAGATCACATTTGAATTTATTAATTTGTACACAAGATTAAAAGCACGATCATGTTAGAATTTTTTAATTTGTACACAAGGGTAAAAGCATGATGCAACTGTTAATAATACGATTGAGTGATCATGTTTGATAATATGCTTTGTAATTTTGGAAATTGGGCTTTGAGTATGGAGAGGTTTGATGATTTGATAAAATATTTTGTAATTTTGGATTTTAATAAATTCTGATTTTAGTTAATATCTTTCTTTGCGGTTGAATTTATTAAAAATGTGTTCTTTGATGATGTTTTTCGTTAGTGGTAAATAATAATTTTTTCATTCAAAAGATTCGTTTAACAGTCTTATCGCACTGAATCATGCAGTGCCTCTAAAGGGTTCAGCACTGAATAAACTCATTCTGTTTCACTTAATGGCTTCAGTTATCAATCACCTTATTATAATAATATCATGCCACAATTTGTCAAAAATATTCATATACTCTGAAATTGGCGTACAAGTTTCTTTAAACCCTATTATAATAATAAAATGAGCTTTGAGTTCAATATGAAGCAAAATTTTACACAACAGAAACTGCCAAATCAACTTAAGGGGCATTTTAGACCTTTTCCACATTCACAAAACTAATCATCCTCGTCAGATGAACTATCGTCCTGTCTTCCAAAACCATCGGTTGCTTCAGGGGCATCCTACACAAATCAATAATCAAATTTAATATTTTTGAAATTTTAATACATTCGTAAATATTTTTTTATAATGAAGTTGTAGTGTTAAATGGGTATTTCTGTAATTTTAACAACTGAGAAAACTTTCTTACAGCTGCTTTATCCCAATCTTTTAACTTAGAAGTTGTGAGCATATAGTTATCACGTAAAGGAGCCCAAGCAGGCCCTTCTCCATCACCACCACCGCCTCCACTTGTGCTAACCTGCACCACAAACCAATCATTAAAGTGAGCCATTTGCTAACCTGCACTGTGTGTGCGTGAGAGAGAGTGAGAGAAAAGAAAAAAAAGAGAGTAAAGTACCGTTGAGGAGGGTTTGCCCAGCTCTGAAAAGAAGGCTTCTTTCCTCCGTTTCTGAATCACTAAAAAGTCAAAGAAAAAAGTCAACCACTGTAAAAGAACAACAAATCTATATACTTCATTTTTTATATAAATACAATAAATTTAAAAAAGAAAAAAAAAAGGATTTAGTTGGACACCTTTAGCATCTTTGGATCTTGATGGATTTAAACCTTTCTGTGAACTTTGAGCTTTGTTAACCTGTAAACAACCACAAACATAAAAAGCTAAATTCATAAATATAACAGAAAATTTTTAAAAAACAAAAACCAGAAACTCACAGCGTTAAATAGCTTGACAACTGAAAGTTCCCCCAACACATGAAAATTTGAAAACAAGTTAGTTTCATGATGCATAAATTTCTAACTTTTTTTAAAAAATATTATATAATATAATTACCTCCTTTTGTGGCAACTCCTATGAGTAGTTTTTCATGGGGTACTGAGAAAGCATCAGGCTTTACGTGTCCTTTTTCTCCTAACTTTATATATCCAATAAAAATCAATTGTATATAATTAGGAAATGGACCTAAACTATTTATAAAAATCATGAAAATATAAATTATATTATACCAAAGTTTTTTCCTTTTTTGCATCACCCTTCACTTTCTTTTCAGCAGCATCTTCAGCAAGCTTTTTTACTACAAGCTTTTTGTGAGCAGATAAAACAGGACCCTACACCAACAACAAAAGAGCATTACAATCCGTAATCATTTTTATTTAAAAAAAAAAAAAATTTGCAATAGAAGGAATCACATTCCTAAAGGAATTGTCGATTCCATTCCACCAGACGAAACAGACAGCTTTTGGCCATTCCAATGGAATGAACCATTCCATTCCTTTTATGATTCCAACATACCAAACACTACCTTAAAAATATTCTTATGGGTGTTATTAAAATACTTACAGACAAGTATAATGATTCAAAAGGCTTACCAGAACATCATCTGTTCCACTTCTTTTTATAATCTTCTTAAATGCTTTTTTGAATGATGTGTTTCCTTCAAAAAACTTCATAATCCCAGGTTGAATTTCCCCATCTTCATCATCAGAAACATCATTGCTAACATCAACATCTTCATCCACTTCTTCATCTGAAGATTTTTCATCATCTTCCTCATCTTCAATATGCACCTGTTTTTTTTCAAACTTCAATGGAGGGGCAGCCTCTTCTTCTTCTTCTTCTATATCATTGTCATCATCCTCACTATCATCAGAATTATAATCTCTTGCCCTTTTCCGGAAAAGCTTTTTTGTTTTTCCATCCATTTTGACCTTCTGTTGACCACTGCCATGAAAGACTTTCATCTTCTTCTTCCCCTTACCCTTCTTGTGACCTATATTTCTCTTCCTTGGGCCTTTTCCAGCTTCTTGCATTTGAAGTTCTTCAGCCATTACCCTAGTCCTCTTTTCCTCAGCTTAAATCCTAACAAATAAAATCATCAAAGTGCTGTGAATTATGCAAGTTTTAAATAGAAAAAAAAAACAATAAACAATATTCATGAAATTGGAAGAAACATAACAAGAAAAGTCTTCAAGCTTCAAAATTCAACCAGTTCGCGATCATAAAGCTAACAAAATTACTTAAAAATTGACTTCAAAGTTCAAACAATCAAGTATCCTACTACAATAAACCAAATGAATCAATAACAAAAAGTACATCTCCCAAACAATGAAACCGAAAGAAAAAAAAAAAGATAAACCATTTAACAATAAACATGAGAACAACTCAAATACAAAAACGAAAACATTCATCCTACATAATGAAATTGGCAAAGAGCTTCAAATGGAACTAGCATTTGAATATTTATTAAACAAAAACAATTGAATTAATCTACAATAAACAATTAAAATTGTCCAAATAAAAAAAAACATTTAAACTAAAAGAAATTGAATGAAAATATCAAATCAGAGATATCCAGTATAAAGACATAAAGCTAATGCCTGCTCACTTCACTGTTTCATCATCACAAATAAATATATAATACATCACATGCTTTAGGTCAAGTTTTTACAAAATTAAAACAAAAAATTAGGTTATTCTTACTTGATACTTAGGATGCGAATGCAGAGAGGCGGAGATCGAGAAAGGGGCTCTATACTGAGAGTCGAGACAAGCAGTTGGCCAATCGCTCTTCCTGAGTTCACCGTCACTTAAGTAAAAAAGAGACTAGAGAGAGGCGTAGACGGAGCGTCGAGTCGGAGGAGGAAGAGACTGGAGCGAATGCGTGTGGATAGTGGGAAATAAGGGTTTAGTTCTAGGGTTTAGGCAAAGAGGATCAAATTCCGATTCGGGTTAAACCTATTGCAATACGGATATGTCATTCAATCCGATAGTTTATCGGGTCATTGGGTTCGATTTGTTCCGATTCGGGGTAAACTCGATTGCTAGTGGTGGACTTTTTCGGTTTGGTTTCTTTGTTTTAAAATATATTTGGGTTGAAACTAAAAATCAAACCAAATTCAAGATTAATCGGACCAAATCAAATACTAAATTACAATCTACTTTTTCTACTTTAATAAATGAAAATCTTCTTTTTTAATAAATGAAAATCTTTTCTGTCACGTGTCATCTTCTCATGCATTTAGATACTTAGGTTTTTTGAGTTATTTAATAAATCCACTTATCATTTTTGTGTTTTTTCCTTTTTATTTAAATGAAATGCAACCTATTAAATGTTACCTCATAGTGATTAATATTATTAATATTAATATATTAATTAATGTAGATAATGACCTTCCATTTATGACGTTTTCTTGAATTTTAAAAGTTATTAATTCCAATAAATAATGTACAACCATGTGATGCTTCGTAATCCAATCTATGTAATGTCGCCAAACATTCGGTTTTTAAATTCTCAATTCCACCAATCTCGATCCCTTTCCGTATATTTTGGCCATATCCCTAGCTACAATTTCAATTATGAAATTCACAATTCTATCAATCTCCACCGTTTCCAACATATCTTAACCTTCCATCACCCTATTTATATGGTTTTTATTTGATTTGATTTCACCACTTTGGTTGGTTAATTAAAGTTGAAATTGAGTGACTGACATGATGGATTATTTTTTCTTCATGATTGTGATATGGTTCATCATCGATCATCTCCTTCCTCCTTGTCTGGATCCATTAGGCACTTAGTAGATTTCATCAACACAATTACATAGTGTTTCTCTGTTCTTAACTCTTGTGGTTTCCTGCTGTAAAAATTATTACATTAAATTCATAATTGATTATCCATTTCAATTTTTAATTTTTGCATTTCTCATTCTAATTACATTAAATAAATAATTGATTCTTCATTTTAAATTTTCTCTCTCTAATTATATTAAATTAAGAATATTAGATTGAAAAATAAAATAAAATTAATATAGATTATAAGATGATATAACTTCATGTATTTATTTAAATCAACGATTATAATTTTATATAACTAAAAAAATATATCTTAAGTAATAATTTATTTAAAATAATTGATTAATAATTTTGATTTTTTAATATGAAAGTTTAATTAATTTTATAACCGTGGTTCTCACGGGTTATAAACTAGTGCAAATATATATTAAACTACTCCTAAATTATTTCACCTATGTCCACAGTGGGACTTGATCTCTCGACCTCAAGGAGGGTGGGCAACACCGGATACCTTTAGGCTATAAGCCCTTTGGTACTTATACTTTCCTGATGTTCTAAACAATCTTAAATCGTCAGCTTTGCCAATTCGTAAGTTGGTATTAGAAGTCGGTGTTCCAATTATGTTACTAAGGAATATTGATCAGAAATATGAGTTGTGTAATGGGATGATGCTACAGGTTACAGCGTTCGGTAAAAGTGTTGTAGAAGAAGAGATAATTTTCGGACGTAATATAGGAAACCGTACATTTATACCAAAAATGTCTTTGACGCCTTCGAATAAAAAATTCTTTCATATTCCAAAGAAGACAAATTTCAATGGTTGTATGTTTTGTGATGACAATAAACAAGATTGGATAGTCGCAATCAAAGGTGGAGTTATTTTTTAGACAACCAGTATTCACTCATAAGCAGATGTATGTTGCATTGTTCACAGTAAAAAAACAGAGACGAATTAAAAATATTAATTTTAGATAATGATGACAAACTTAGTAATATAACATCTAAAGATTTCCTACCAAAGGATTCACATCATACCTGGCATTTGTAATAGATGTCACTTCATGTACATTTCGCATAAAGATTTCCTACCAATATATTGTTTGATTCGAGAGAAAATTACTCCTTTATATCGCACAAATTTGGTGAAAGACTAGCATTGCATGTAGATAAACTTGATAATAATCTAGTTGTAGAAGTTGCTAGTGGCAAATTCATACCTGTTAGCGATTGCATTGAAAACATCAGCATCGACTTGAACGGGAATAAATTCCACGAAGAGTTGTTACCCATTAAGTTGAACGGTTTCGACATTGTACTGGGAATGGATTGGCTTAGTGCAAACGATGTCGAAATACTATGCAAGAAGAAGATGGTAAGAGTAAACCCACCTGGAAAAGAGTCATTTGTGGTGTACGTGGACAAACATAGAGTGAATTTTGGAATCATTTCCCTGATGAAAGCCAGAAAATGTTTGTCTAAAGGATGCACATCATACCTGGCATTTATAATAGATACAAAGAAAGAGAAGAAATAGATACAAAGAATATCAGTGGTGTGTAACTATCCGGAAGTCTTTCCCGAAGATCTTCCTGGATTGCCACTGATAGACAAGGAATTTTGAATAGACTTGTTGCCAACATCGACACCAATAGTGAAAGCACCGTACCGGTTAGCACCGACAGAGATGAAGGAGGTTATGATACAACTTCAGGAGTTGTTGGACAACGGTTTCATTATACCTAGTTCATTACCCTGGGGAGCTCCGGTGTTATTTGTGACAAAAGAAGGATGGAAGCATGAGGATGTGCATAAACTATAGAGAGTTGAACAAGGCAACGATAAAGAACAGGTATCCCTTGACAATGATTGACGACTTGTTCGATCAGCTGAAAGGTTCGAGCTTTTTCTTAAAGATCGATTCCAGGTCAGGATATCACCAGCTGAAGGTGAGAGAGCAAGATATTGAGAAGACTGCATTCAAAATGAGATACGGACACTATGAGTTCTTGGTTATGTCATTTGGACTAACCAATGCTCTAGTAGCATTTATGGATTTGATGAACAGGGTTTGTAAACCATTCCTCGATGAATCCATGATAGTGTTCATAGACGACATTCTGATTTACTCAAAGAGCCAGCAGGAGCATGTCAAGCACCTGCGAGAAGTATTAGAAGTTATGAAGAAGGAGAAGCTGTATGCAAAGTTCTCCAAATGTGATTTTTGGATTCGAGAAGTCCAATTCTTGGGTCATGTGGTTAACCAAGAGGGAATAATGGTTGACCTAGCAAATATTGAAGCTATGATGAAATGGGAACGACCAAAAAGTCCCACGGAGATTCGAAGCTTTTTGGGATTAGTCGGATATTACCGAAGGTTTATCCAATGCTTTTCTTTGATAGCTACTCCATTGACAGCTTTGACCCATAAAGGAGCTACCTATACATGGAGTGAGAAACATGAAGAGTCATTCGAGAAATTAAAGACAAAATTATGTGAGCACTGATTCTTTCTTTACCTGACGCAGTTGAAGACTTCGCAGTCTATAGCAATGCATCTGGAGTTGGGTTAGGTTATGTTTTGACCCAGAGAGATAAAGTGATAGCATATGCATCTCGACAATTGAAAGAGTACGAGAAGAATTACCCCGCTCACGATCTGGAGTTAGCAGTGGTAGTATTTACATTAAAGATATGGAGGCATTATCATTATGGCAAAAAGTGCAAGATCTTCACCGATCATAAAAGTCTCCAGTATCTCTTTGATAAAAAGAATTGAATATCATGCAACGACGCTGGCTAGAGTTGCTTAAGGATTACGACTGTGAGATACTTTACCACCCTGGTAAAGCAAATGGCATAGCTGATGCTCTAAGTCAAAAGGTAATCTTGGAAAGAAAAAGGCCAAGAGCGTTAAGAATTAAAGTTGTCTCAACGATTATGGAAAGCATCAAGAAAGCTCAGGAAGAAGCTTTGCAGAAAAATGACCAAAAGGAAGAATATTTAGGCAAGACGTTGGTATTTGGTACAAATAGTCAAGGATTGAAGGTATTCCAAGATAGAATTTGGGTACCTAATATGGGAGGAATAAGGGATCTTCTGATGGAAGAAGCTCACAAGACCATATACTCGATTCATCCTGGTAGCACTAAGGTATTCCAAATCTGACTTCGTATGAGGAAGTTATGATTTTCTAAGATTTAGCATAGCAGTGCACAACCCGGAATTCGAACTTTATATCGACCAATTTTTAGCCAACACAATCCAAACGAGAATCGAAGATCTCGTTAATATGAGCTCAACGATATAAAGACAGACAAAAACAGACGTCGGATGAAAAAGTTATGAATTTTTAAACGAACTTTACCTGTCTAGACCTGTTAAAATATAACTTTAAAAATAAATTCAAAATTAGCCGACGTATTTTTAAAAAAGTTGTAGAGTACGTCGCCACCTACACGTGGATATAAAGAACATCGAAAACGGAGCTCGTATGTGAAAGTTACAGAATTTAGAAGTCGGGAATAGGCTGATGTGAGGAGGGTGACGTGGCACCATCTCAGCCATTGCTTTCGCCCCACGGCCTCGCATGCACAAATGACACATGTCACCTTGTACGTGCAGCGTACTGGGTACGTGCATCGTAGCTCCAAGGAACGCCCGGCGTACCTGTACAGCTCCAGCCTATAAATAAGATGCGAGGGAAGCGTCAATTCTTCACACTTCCACCCTTCTTTCTCTCTAAACCCTTCCAACCCCTAATACTTCCCAAGTGCTAAGATGCAAGTCCCAGAGCGCTATAAAGCTCCAAGAAGAAGAGCTTTTGGCTCGAAAGTTCTACCCCCGCAGAGCTTGGTTCCTAGCCAAACCCTCTTATAAGTAAGTTACGCTTACCCTACTTTAAGTATAGCCTATGTTTAAGTTTAATATCGTTATTAGGAACCTATAAACAATATATGTATTATAAAATAGAATACACAAAATGTTATTATAATATCTTTTAACTACTCGCGGTATGGAGAATCTATTTTGAAGGGTCGCATAGGGTTGTTGGATTTCAGACGTGTTATAATGCCAAAATGGTCCTGCCCTCCGGTGTTTCATGTCTGACCCTTGTCTGTACATAGTGGTTGAAAAGTATTGTTTAACACTTATAAAAC